ACGGGCCCGACATGCTTCGAGCCAGACAGGCAAATTTGCAAGTGCGACGGAACCCGGTGGACCCCCCAACAGCCCTCGAAAGTGGCGACAGTTTAGCAGATCGCAGCCCCCCAGGGATGGCGAGATCAAATCTGAATCTGGGTGGTGCCTCACTCCGCCGGACCCCCCAACAGCCCTCGAAAGTTGCGACAGTTTCGCAGATCGCAGCCCCCCAGGAAAGCGAGGTCTAATCTGAATCTGGGTGGTGCCTCACTCCGCTGGCCCCCCAGCAGCCCTCGAAAGTCGCGACAGTTTCACAGATCGCAGACCCCAGGGATGGCGAGGTCTAATATGAATCTAGGTGGTGCCTCACTCCGCTGGACCCCCCAGCAGCCCTCGAAAGTGGCGACAATTTCACAGATCGCAGCCCCCAAGGATGGCGAGGTCTAATCTGAGTCTGCGGTGAGCACCCACTGTGCTGTGCCCCTCAGCAGCCCTCGAAAGTGGCGACAGTTTCACAGATCGCATCCCACCAGGGATGGCGAGGTCTAATTTGAGTCTGCGGTGGGTACCCACTGTGCTGTGCCCCTCAGCAGCCCTCGAAAGTGGCAACAGTTTCACAGATCGCTGCCCCCAGGGATGGCGAGGTCTAATTTGAATCTGCGGTGAGTACCCACTGTGCTGTGCCCCTCAGCAGCCCTCGAAAGTGGCGACAGTTTCACAGATCGCAGCCCCCCAGGGATGGCGAGGTCTAATTTGAGTCTGCGGTGGGTACCCACTGCGATGTGCCCCTCAGCAGCACTCGAAAGTGGCGACAGTTTCACAGATCGCAGGTGCTGTGCCCCTCAGCAGCCCTCGAAAGTGGCGACAGTTTCGCAGATCGCAGCCCCCCAGGAAAGCGAGGTCTAAGTTGAGTCTGCGGTGGGTACCGACTTTGCTGTGCCCCTCAGCAGGCCTCGAAAGTGGCGACAGTTTCACAGATCACAGCCCCCCAGGGATGGCGAGGTCTACTTTGAGCCTGCGGTGAGTACCCACTGTGCTGGACCCCTCAGCAGCCCTCGACAGTGGCGACAGTTTCACAGATCGCAGCCCCCCAGGGATGGCGAGGTCTATTTTGAGTTTGCGGTGAGTACCCACTGTGCTGTGCCCCTCAGCAGCCCTCGAAAATGGGGACAGTTTCACAGATCGCAGCCCCCCAGGGATGGCGAGGTCTAATCTGGGTCTACGGTGAGTACCCACTGTGCTGGGCCCCTCAGCAGCCCTCGAAAGTGGCGACAGTTTCACAGATCGCAGCCCCCCAAGGATGGCGAGGTCTAATCTGACTCTGCGGTGAGTACCCACTGTGCTGTGCCCCTCAGCAGCCCTCGAAAGTGGCGACAGTTTCACAGATCGCATCCCCCAGGGACGGCGAGGTACAATTTGAATCTGCGGTGAGTACCCACTGTGCTGTGCCCCTCAGCAGGCCTCGAAAGTGGCGACAGTTTCACAGATCGCAGCCCCCCAGGGATGGCGAGGTCTAATCTGAGTCTGCGGTGAGTACCCACTGTGCTGGACCCCCCAGAAGCCCTCGAAAGTGGCGACAGTTTCACAGATCGCAGCCCCCCAGGGATGGCGAGGTCTAATCTGAGACTGCGGTGAGTACCCACTGTGCTGTGCCCCTCAGCAGCCCTCGACAGTGGCGACAGTTTCACAAATCGCATCCCCCCAGGGATGGCGAGGTCTAATTTGAGTGTGCGGTGAGTACCCACTGCGCTGGGCCCCTCAGCAGCCCTCGAAAGTGGCGACAGTTTCACAGATCGCAGCCACCAGCAGCCCTCGCAAGTGGCACAGGGATAACCAGGTAGGAAGCAGGCTGACATGCAGCGACGAGCGAGGTAAAAGGCAGGGGGGAAGAGAGGGACGGGAAGGAAGGAAGGAAGGAAAAGGAAGGAAGGAGACGCACGAGCAGCGCTCTATTCAAAACGAGAACCCAACGCAGGAGGGTTGGGAGTAAAAATCAACGATTTTGGCTTGTCGGCGCTCTCTTGGGAGGCCTCTTGGGATGCCTTCGGGGCCTCATGGAGCTCTCTTGGAACGTCTTCGGGCCTTCCTGGCCATTCCTGAGGCTATCTATGCGCGTCTTGGATCGCTCGCGGGCCGTCTTGGGCGGTCTCGAACTGTTCCTGGCGGTCCCAGGGGCCCTCCGGGACGCTTCGGACGCTCCCGGGGGCGCCCTGCACCCCCCATGGAGATTACAGGCAGCGCCCCGGGCCGCCCCCGGGCCCTACTTATATACTTATATATATATATATATATATATATATATATATGTGTGTGTGTGTGTCTGTGTGTGTGCAAATATCTGGATAGTATGCATATGTACATATATACGGTCGGATGGGGGGCTGGCGGGGGATGCGGAGCGAAGCACATCTTTGGTGTTGGCCACTGCACTTTGTCATGCCGCAATGTTCTGTCATGCCGCGGCGAACGCCATCCAGCGACCGCGGGCTGCGTTATGTTATGCTAGGCTGCGCTATGGTATGCTATGTTGCGGTATGCTGTGCTATGCTATGCTGCGCTATGCTATGCTATGCTGCGCTATGCTATGCTAGGCTAGGCTATGCTATGATATGATATGCTGCGCTATGCTATGCTATGCTATGCTGCGCTATGCTATGCTATGCTATGCTATGCTATGCTATGCTGCGCTGTGCTATGCTATGCGATGCTGCGCTATGCTATGTTATGCTATGCTACGCTATGCTATGCTGCGCTATGCTATGCTGCGCTATGCTATGCTATTGTATGATATGTTAATGCTGGGCTGCGCTAAGCTAAGGTAAGCTGAGCTGAGCTAAGCTAAGCTAAGCTAAGCTAAGCTGAGCAAAGCTATGCTAGGCTAAGTTAAGCCAAGCTTAGCTAAGATAAGATAAGCAAATGTAAGCTAAGCCAAGCTAAGCTAAGCTAAGCTAGGCTAGGCTAAGCTGTTGCTGCTGTTGACTTGCCTTTGCTTTGACGTTATGTTATGCTAAGCTAAGCAGCAGAAGATAAGCAGCATAACTTAAGCTGGAGCCCCTAGGAAAGAAGCATAAGCTAAGCTAAGCGAAGCTGAGCAAAGCTAAGCTAAGCTAAACTGAGCCAGGCTAAGCTAAGCCAAGCCAAGCCAAGCTAAGCCAAGCTAAGCTAAGCTAAGATAAGCAAAGGTAAGCTAAGGGGGCGCCACTGGGGGAACCGCGGAGCGGATGCCGGGGGAACCGCCCGGGGCGAGTTGCACTGCCCGGCCTCTTTAAGGTAAGAGAGTAAGAACCCTCTAGGCAAAGCCTAGGTCGGGAACAAAACCGATGCCGGAACGCCGTAGTGAGGCCTGTCGGCCCAACTCGGGCCAGCGAGACGCCTCCCAAAGGCCTCCCTTGGTGGAGTTTCTGGTACTGCGTAAAGCACGAGCCAGAACGCCGTGTAGTGAGCCCTGCCGGACCCCGCCCGGGCCAGCGAGACGCCCCCCCAGAGGACCTCCATGTGGAGAGCCTGGCACGTAAGCACGAGCCAGAGCGCCGTATAGTGAGCCCTGCCGGATCAGCCCGGGCCAGCGAGACGCCGGCCAGAGGGCCCCCCCTTTTGGGGAGGTTCTGGTGAGGGACACATTTAACCTCCATTTTTAACCCCCCCTGTGGAGAGTCTGGCACGTCAGCACGAGCCAAAACGCCGTTTAGTGAGCCCTGCCGGATCCCACCCGGGCCAGCGAGACGCCTCCCAGAGGGCCCCCCCTGGGGAGGTTCTGGTGAGGGACGCATTTAACCTCAATTTGAATCCTCAAATTTGAATTCGCCGGCCCTACTCCCGCACGTAATTTATCGCAGAATAATTTCGCCGGCCCTACAGGTTCTGGTGAGGGACACATTTAACCTCAATTGGAGTCCTCTTGCGAACGGCTATCAGGGAACAGTGGCTGGCGCCTCTTCGGGGCGACCCCTTGCCCAAGAGAGGAGGTAGCTGGCGCCGAGGCGCACCTGGCGCGCGTGGCGCACATGGCACGCTGGGCGCGGGCGGCGAGGCGCGTCGTTTCCATTTTTGCTGGCCGTCGGGCTGGGCGCTGGGAGCGTACACACGGATGCATCCGTCAAATATCAATTCAGCTTTGCTTCAATCCCCCCCCGCCTCGGCCGCACTCTGGAGGACGGAGGAGCGAGGAGGAGGGAGGAGGGGGCGAGCAGGAGGAAAAGGCAGCGAGCAGGAGGAGGAGGGAGCGGGAGTACGTCCGCGCTGCCGGGGCGAAGATCCCTCGCAAGTCACTCGGGATTCACGCTCCCGGGGCCACGATCCCTCGTAAATTGCGCTGCGTCCGCGCTCCCAGGGCCACGATCCCTCGTCAATTACGCTGTGGCCGCGCTCCCAGGGCCACGATCCCTCGTGAATTGCCCTGCGCCCGCGCTCCCAGAGCCTCCTGGGGCATCCTTGGGCGTCCAGGTTCCCGGGGGTCTACAAAACAAGCGTTTCGCTTGGCATCCTCAACAAAGTCTGCGAAACTAGCGTTTCGCCCGAGACATCCGCACCAAACGGAAGTTCTCTTTTTGCATCGTTGTTCATCGAGCGAAAAGATCCCTGGGCATATTCCCTTTTCCGGGAACAAGAACCCTGGCTCAAACAATCAAACTTGGGCGACGGGCAATTGCAATGCTCAAAATAAAGATGGTGATGCACCGTGCCAGAGTCTGTGCTGTGCTGTGATGAATTCAAACGTGCCGTGCCGCGTTGAACTGTGCCGTGCTCTATTGCATTGTGGATCAGATCGTTCTTGGCAGCAGAATCCTGACCGAACTGATCTGGATCTTAAGCTGTAGTTGCCTGAACGCACAGCTCGCGCTGGTTGCAGTCCAACCGCGCGGGGCGCTCGACCAGCTCGAGCACAGGATCTGAGTCAGTTCCGTAACGAGACGAACAAGAGGGGGCGACTCCAAGCCGACGCGAAACGCACCGAGAATGGACGGACCGAAGCGCGGCAAACCAAGACGCGACGAAGAGCAGCAATCGCAAATGTTGGCCCAGGAGTCGCCGGGGCCGCTGTCGGGGCAGGCGTCGTCGGAGATGAGGTCGGAGACGTCGTTGGTGCCGCTGTCGGGGCTGGCGTCGGAGACGGCGTTGGTGCCGTCGGTGCTGGAGTTGACGCTGGTGTCGGCGCAGCAGCAATGCAAAACCCGCCCACACACGTGCTGCCATCGTAACAGTCCTCACTGGCAGTGCACTTCAGCATCATGTACGCTTCGTACATACTGGCAGAACCATGCTTGTTGTTGCACCGATCAGAGAATCTCCAAGCATGACCATAGCCCTTGTAACCGTCATCGGTACCTGTATAACCAGGGTGCAATGCCTGTACTTGGGGGTCGCTGTTTTGACAATACGGTCCGGGATACCTTGCAGTGGTCAAGCCACAAAACACAGGGCTGTTGTCCGTGATTGAGGACTTTCCGCATGTCCATGGTCCAGTCGGCGAGTATTCCGACACGCACACGTCATCCATTGGAATGTTTTCGGAAGAATATTGCTGAGATGCTGAAGTAAACTTGTAGTGGCGGGGCAAAGTGGCTTCGTCGTCCATCACCACTTTGAAAACCACGTTTTCATGACCAGCAAGAGCAATCATATCGTTAATCACAGCGTCATCCGCCTTGCATGTTGCGCTTGCAGACGTCGCCGTGAATGCACCAGTCCACTTTGAACAATAGTAGCCTGTCGGGTCATTCTTCTTGATCCTTGCAATCAGATAGCCTCGCTCCGGATGCGGGCTGGGGCAATGAGGCAACTCTTTACGCAGCTTCGCCATGGCGCGATTCCGTGTCGTAGGCGGTGGCGCATGCGATACAGAGACCGGCGCGACCAGCTTCTCGCTCGCTTCGCTGACCGCACTCAGCTGCATCATCGTCACGCCATCATGTGCGCGACACGTGTCAACGCCCGCGCTGGTCGCCACGGTCATCGCGAGCGTCAAGGCTGCCGTCATGGTCTTGATGGGCATGGCTCACCACGGGGGCGATCGTGAAGAGTTGTTTGCGTTGAACACGTACCTTTTCTGGTCCTTGCAGAAGGGGCGCTTGGGCCAAACTGAGCAGAAGGGGCGCGTGCTCGTGAAGATCGGGCGGGCTCCCAGACCTCTCGCTGGAATCTCGGCTCTCGGCCTCGAGACTCCCGTACGACGCACAACCAACCAACTCCTCTACTCTTTCCTGACGCTGCCTGGGCTTAGAACGGGGCACAGCTCTGCAGGCCTGCAGAGCTGAGCCCTCCCCTATTTCCATGTTCACCCCTGGTTCCCCGCCCGACAGGTTGGGGTCGTTAGATTTTACGAACAGACCTCCCGGCCCGCCCGCCCTGCATACCGCAGCCGCCCGATCCCCAGGTCTGGCGAGAGCCCCCTGGGTGTCCGCCCCCGCCCGCCCTGCATACCGCGGCCGCCAGACCCCAAGGTCCGGCGAGAGTCCCCGGGTCGAGGACGCCGGGCGACTTGCGGGTAACAACTTTCTGGGGTTCCCCAACGGGCGGTTGCCTGCGTGGCGTCGTTGCCGCCGCCTTCGGTCCTGAGCGCTCATGCGGTAGAGAGGGGCATCCAAAAAGTGGATGCCCCTCTCTACCGCATGAACGCTCAGCTCCATAGAGCTGAGCGCGTGGCTCTGGGGCAAGAAGACCAGAGAGGGAAGCGATACATCAGATACATCAGATTTCGCACGGAAGACATCCGAGAAATTGTTGGTTCCGTTGTGGATATTGTTGTGGTTCCGTGGAGGGAACCAGGTGCCCATTCCTGGGTTCCCTCCTGAGTCCCCTCCTGAGTTCCTTTCCAGGTTCCCCTCCTGGGTTCCCTCCTGGGTTCCTTTCTGACTTCCCTCCTGAGTCCCCTCCTGGGTCCCTCCTGGGTCCCCTGGGTCCCTGGGTCCCCTCCTGGGTCCCTGGGTCCCTCCTGGGTCCCTCCTGGGTCCCCTGGGTCCCCTCCTGGGTCCCTCCGGGGTTCCCTGGGTCCCTGGGTCCCTCCTGGGGTCCCCTCCTGGGTCCCCCCTGGGTCCCCTCCTGGGTCCCTCCTGGGTCCCTCCTGGGTCCCCTCCCTTTCTGGGTTCCCTCCTGGGTCCCTCCTGGGTTCCCCTCCTGAGTCCCCTCCTGGGTTCCTTCTTGGGTCCCTTCCTGGGTTCCCTGGTGGGTCTCCTCATGGGTTCCCTCCTGGGTTCCTTTGATGGGTTATCCTCTTCGTCCTCCTCTTCCCCCTCCCCCCCTCCTCCTGCCCGCCCCCCCTCCTCTCCGCCTCCTCCTGCTCCTCCCCGCCCGCCGTCCGCTCCCCAAGGGGGATGTGGGAAGCGACCCCCCCCAAAAAAAGAAAAATCAAAAAACAAAAAAAAAACAGAAAAAAAAAAAAAAAAAAAAAAAAAAAAAAAAAAACTGCTGGAAAACGAAAAAAAACACTGGAAAAAAAAAAAAAAAAAAAAAAAAAAAAAAAAAATGTGAACCAGGGACGACCAGGGGAAAACTAGACCCGACCAGGGAAAAATTGGACCCGACCACAGGAAAAACTAGACCCGACCACAGGGAAAACTAGACCCGACCAGGGGAGAACTAGACCCGACCAGGGACAAACTAGACCCGACCAGGGGAAAAACTAGACCCGACCAAGGGAAAACTATACCCGACCAGAGAAAAACTAGACCCGACCAGGGAAAAAGTAGACCCGACCAAAGGAAAAACTAGGCCTGACCAGGGGAAAACTAGACCCGACCAGGGAAAAACTAGACCCGACCACGGAAAAACTAGACCCGACCACAGGGAAAACTAGACGCGACCAGGGGAAAACTAGACCCGTCCAGGGAAAAATTAGACCCGACCAGAGAAAAACTAGACCCGACCAAAGGGAAAACTAGACCCGACCAGGGAAAAACTAGACCCGACCTCAGGGAAAACTACACCCGACCAGGGGAAAACTAGACCCGACCAAGGAAAAACTAGACCCGACCACAGGGAAAACTAGACCCGACCGAAGGAAAAACTAGATCCGACCAGAGGAAAACTAAGCAAGGAAAAACTAAACCCGACCAAAGAAAAAACTAGACCCGACCACGGGAAAACTAGACCAGACCAGAGAAAAACTAGACCCGACCAGAGAAAAACTAAACCCGACCAGGGGAAAATTAGACCCGACCAAAGGAAAAACTAAACCCGACCAGGGGAAAATTAGACCCGACCAGGGAAAAACTAGACCCGACCAGAGAAAAACTAGACAGGACAAAAGGAAAAACTAGACCCCACCGACCAGGGAAAAACTAGACCCGACCAGAGAAAAACTAGACCCGACCAAAGGAAAAACTAGACCCGACCACAGGGAAAACTAGACCCGACCAGGGGAAAACTATACTCGACCAAAGGAAAAACTAGACCCGACCAGAGAAAAACTAAACCCGACCATAGGAAAAATTAAACCCGACCAGGGGAAAGCTAGACCCGACCAAAGGAAAAACTAGACCCGACCAAAGGAAAAACTACACCCGACCAGGGGAAAACTAGACCAGACCAGAGAAAAACTAGACCCGACCAGAGAAAAACTAAACCGGACCAAAGGAAAAACTAGACCCGACCAGGGGAAAACTAGACCCGACCAGAGGAAAGCTAAACCCGACCAGGGAAAAACTAGACCCGACCAAAGGAGAAACTAGACCCGACCAGGGAAAAACTAGACCCGACCAGAGAAAAACTGAACCCGACCAAAAGAAAAACTAGACCCGACCAGGGAAAAATTAGACCCGACCAGGGAAAAACTACACCCGACCAGGGAAAAACTAGACCCGACCAGGGAAAAACTAAACCCGACCACAGGGAAAACTACACCCGACCAAGGGAAAACTAGTCCCGACCAGGGAAAAACTTGACCCGACCAGAGAAAAACTAGACCCGACCAACGGAAAAACTACACCCGACCAGGGGAAAACTAGACCCGACCAGGGAAAAACTAGACCCGACCAGAGAAAAACTAGGACGGACCAAAGGAGAAACTAGACCCGACCAGAGAAAAACTAGACCCGACCAGGGAAAAAACTAGACCGACCAAAGGAAAAACTAGACCCGACCAAACGAAAACTAGACCCGACCAGGGAAAAACTAGACCCGACCACAGGGAAAACTAGACCCGACCAGGGGAAAACTAGACCCGACCAGGGAAAACCTAGACCCGACCAGAGAAAAACTGAACCCGACCAAAAGAAAAACTAGACCCGACCAGGGGAAAACTAGACCCGACCAGGGAAAAACTAGACCCGACCAAAGAAAAACTAGACCCGACCAAAGGAAAAACTAGACCCGACCAGGGGAAATCTAGACCCGAGCAGAGGAAAACTAGACCCGACCAGGGAAAAAACTAGACCCGACCAAAGGAAAAACTAGACCCGACCAAGGGAAAACTAAACCCGACCATAGAAAAAACTAGACCCGACCACGGAAGAACTAGACCCGACCACAGGGAAAACTAGACGCGACCAGGGGGAATCTAGACCCGACCAGGGAAAAATTAGACCCGACCAGAGAAAAACTAGACCCGACCAAAGGGAGAACTAGACCCGACCAGGGGAAAACTAGGCCCGACCAGAGGAAAACTAGACCCGACCAGAGAAAAACTAGACCAGACCAAAGGAAAAACTAGACCCGACCAGGGAAAACTAGACTCTGGTGCGATTGGGGAGATGCGAATGCGGGGCTCCAGAGAAGTGAAGGGGACGCACAGATGCGCGCTGGCATCTTTGGTTGTTGTCAAGGACCTCGCAATTCTCCACGACTCTGCGTCGCTTGCAGCTGACGCGGACCTGGCAGTATCGTTCCTGTACATCGTGGCGCTTGGTTTGGACGTCGTCGCCAGCGTTCAACTGGCTGCTGCTAGATACGCTCCAGGTCGTCTATTGCCCAGCCAATATCGCAGACATGCTAGGGCATGCGAGCGGAAGGCCAAACTCCGCGTTGAGGAGAGGCTGCACGTGGTGTGCCCATCCGTGCGCAGCGCATTGCTGCGAATCGCCCAAGCGCCTGGAAGCAAGATCGTCGTGGAAGCTGGCGGTGAGCCTGCCTCTGGCGGCGTTTCTTTTGGCACGCTCTTGGACGTCGTGAACTGGGCTATCTCCGCACGGAAGGTTTGGAATGAGCTGGGTCCGAAGGTTCTCAGCGTTGACGGGGCGCGCTTGCGAACGTGAGGCAAAGAGATTTCGCCTCCCTTTCTCCGTCGCCATCGCCATCGCAAGCTATCGCTTTCCTGATTTTGATGTGGCCCTGAGAGGAGGAGGTGGAGGAAACGGAGGGCGCAAGCTGTCTTCTTCCGATGGGTCTGTTTTTCGCGTCATGTATTCTTTTCTACTTGGATATGGTTTCGCATGTTTCCGTAAGTTCTCGCTCCGTCCTGTGTCGTTTCCTCGTGGTGCTGTTCGAATTTCCTATCCCGTTTCATTGTTGATCGCTCATGTATCTGATTCTCGTTGACAAAATAGTGGAGAGCGCCAAGTTTTGCAAACAGAACAGTTGCGAGCGCAAAAAGCAAAAACAGCGCCAATTTTGCAAACGGAAACAGTGCCAGGCGACAACTCACACTCCCAACTTCTGGTTTTTGTAAGTTACAAGGACAAGGAATTCTGAAAACCAGAAAGCTGTCGGAAGAAACTCTGAAAACAAAAAAGTTGTCGGAAGAAATCCTGAAAACAAGAAAGTTGTCGGAAGAAATTTTGAAAACAAGAAAGTTGTCGCCGAAAAGCTGCGAGCGCCAATTTTGAAAACAGAAGCAGTCCAGGCGACAACTCACACTCCCAACTTCTGGTTGTTGTAAGTTACAAGGGCAAGGAATTCTGAAAACAATAAAGTTGTCGGAAACAAGTTCGAAAACAAAAAAGTTGTCGGAATAAATTCTGAAAACAAAGAAGTTGTCGGAAAGAATTCTGAAAACAAAAGAGTTGTCGGAACAAAATCTGAAAACAAGAAAGGTGTCGGAATAAATTCTGAAAACAAGAAAGCTGTCGGAAAAAGTCTGAAAACAAAAAAACTGTCGGAAGAAATCCTGAAAACAAGAAAGTTGTCGGAAGAAATTTTGAAAACAATAAAGTTGTCGGCAGAAATTCTGAAAACGAGAAAATTGTCGCCGAGTGTGGCGCTGTGGAGGAAGGAGGAGGAACATCAGGATATGTGGTTAACGGTAGGGCGGGGCGAAAAAAGCTGGCCTTATAACATGAGAAATCCTTAAGTTGGGACATCGAGTTGTCGGGTCAATCAAAAATCCCTTACAGCCGACAACTCGAGTGCCCAACATAAGGATTTCTCGTGTTATAAGGCTAGCGGATGGCAGAAAAAGCTGGCCTTATAACTTACAAAAAAACAGATGTTGGGCAACCGAGTTGTCGGATCTTGGCCGGCAGCGATGTCTCCGCTCTTGTAGGCGCTGTCGGAAGAAATTATGAAAACAAGGAAGCTGTCGGAAGAAGTTCTGAAAACAAGAGAGTTGTCGGAAGAAATTCTGAAAACAAGAAAGCTGTCGGCAGAAATGCTGAAAACAAGAAAGCTGTCGGAAAAAAATATGAAAACAAGAAAGCTGTCGGAAGAAATTCTGAACACAAGAGAGTTGTCGGAAGAAATTATGAAAACAAGAAAGTTGTCGGAAGAAATTCTGAAATCAAAAAAGTTATCGGCAGAAATTCTGAAAAAAGAAAGTTGTCGGCAGAAACTCTGAAAACAAGAAAGCTGTCGAAGGAAATTCTGAAAACAAGAAATTTGTCGCCGAGTGTGGCGTTGAGGAAGAAGAGGAGGAGTACAATCAGGAGATGTTGTTAAGGCCAGGGTGGGGGGAAATTCGCTAGCCTTATAACATGAAACTGGCGCTCGCAACGTTTCTCTTTGCAAGATTGACGCTTACAATTTTTCTGTTTGCAAAATTGGGTCTCGCAATCTTTCTATTTACACAATTGGGTCTCTTCATTTTCGGCTGTTTGCCTAATCGGGTTTCGCAGATCGATTGTTTGTAACGCATGTTGAGCTTCATGATTCGGCTGTTTGCAACATTGGCACAGCAAAACTAGCTCGGGCGAGTGCAAAATGCAGAATCGCAACCCGGCTGTTGGCCACATTGGCGACTACCATTCTTTCGGCTGTCTGCAGATGTTGCATGTATTTCTCGGCTGCTTGTAAAAGTCGACGACAAAAATCGGGTTTGCTCGCCTCCACCAGAGGAAAACGAAATCCGACCGGGGAAAAACTAGACCCGACCACAGGAAAAATAGACCCGACCAGCGGAAAACTAGATCCGACCAGGGAAAAACTAGACCCGCGCAGAGGAAAACTAGATCCGACCAGGGAAAAACTAGGCCCGACCACAGGGAAAACTAGACCCGACCAGGGGAAAAACTGGACCCGACCAGGGGAAAACTAGACCCGACCAGGGGAAAACTAGACCCGACCAGAGGAAAACTAGATCCGACCAGGGAAAACTAGACCCGACCACAGGAAAAATAGACCCGACCAGCGGAAAACTAGATCCGACCACAGGAAAAACTAGACCCGCGCAGAGGAAAACTAGATCCGACCAGGGAAAAACTAAGCCCGACCACAGGGAAAACCAGCCCCGACCAGGGGAAAAAATTGACCCGACAAAGAAAACTAGACCCGACCAGGGGAAAACTAGACCCGACCAGAGGAAAACTAGATCCGACCGGGGAAAAACTAGACCCGACCACAGGAAAAATAGACCCGACCAGCGGAAAACTAGGTCCGACCAGGGAAAAACTAGACCCGCGCAGAGGAAAACTAGATCCGACCAGGGAAAAACTAGGCCCGACCACAGGGAAAACTAGACCCGACCAGGGGAAAAACTGGACCCGACCAGGGGAAAACTAGACCCGACCAGGGGAAAACAGAGGAAAACTAGATCCGACCGGGGAAAAACTAGACCCGACCACAGGAAAAATAGACCCGACCAGCGGAAAACTAGATCCGACCAGGGAAAAACTGAACCCGCGCAAAGGAAAACTAGATCCGACCAGGGAAAAACTAGACCCGACCACAGGGAAAACCAGCCCCGACCACAGGAAAAATAGACCCGACAAAGGAAAACTAGACCCGACCAGGGGAAAACTAGACCCGACCAGAGGAAAACTAGATCCGACCGGGGAGAAACTAGACCCGACCACAGGAGAAATAGACCCGACCAGCGGAAAACTAGATCCGACCAGGGAAAAGCTAGACCCGCGCAAGGGAAAACTAGATCCGACAGGGGAAAAACTAGGCCCGACCACAAGGAAAACCAGACCCGACCAGGGGAAAAACTGAACCCGACCAGGGGAAAACTACACCCGACCAGGGGAAAACTAGACCCGACCAGAGGAAAACTAGACCCGACCAAAGAAAAACTAGACCCGACCACAGGAAAAATAGACCCGACCAGCGGAAAACTAGATCCGACCAGGGAAAAACTAGACCCGCGCAGAGGAAAACTAGATCCGACCAGGGAAAAATTAGGCCCGACCACAAGAAAAACTAGACCCGACCAGGGGAAAAACTGGACCCGACCACAGGAAAAATAGACCCGACCAAAGGAAAACTAGACCCGACCAAAAAACAACTAGATCCGACCGGGGAGAAACTAGACCCGACCACGGGAAAAATAGACCCGACCAGCGGAAAACTAAATCCGACCAGTAGACCCGCGAAGAGGAAAACTAGATCCGACCAGGGAAAAACTAGGCCCGACCACAAGGAAAACTAGACCCGACCAAAGGGAAAAACTGGACCCGACCAGGGGAAAACTAGACCCCACCAGGGGAAAACTAGACCCGACCAGAAGGAAAACTAGACCCGACCGGGGAACAACTAGACCCGACCACAGGAAAAATAGACCCGACCAGCGGAAAACTAGATCCGACCAGGGAAAAACTCTCCTAAATAACTCCTGGCCGTGCCTATGTGGATCGATCGGGCAGCGCCTGCATGCACCATCACCTCGGTGGCACTCCCTCAGCCGGCATCTCGACGCATGCTTCTCACACCTATCCGAGCATTTTGAACTTCGCTTCGGGTGCGGATCCCACATCGGGTCGAATGTCTCGTCGTAGCCTTCCTCGCAGACTGCCAATTCACAGACAGAGAGCACACCAATGGTTGCTACTCTTGGTTTCTTGATCCCCACGTCGGCCCTGGGGTCTCCTGGGGCACATCGGTGGAAGTCGCTCCTGTACTGATCAGGTTCCGTTTGCATGGCTGTCTGTGCTTCTGCCTCTCCTGGGACAGGAGGCATGGCCACGCCCCCTGCAGCAGGTGCGGGTGCTACCGCTACCTCACTGCTGCTCGATGCCGCTGCTGGCCCAGCTGCTGCTCCAGGCGCGGGGGCCCCCGCAGCCGGGGCTGGCACCACCACCGTAACCTCTGGGGCCACAGGGTCCTTCTCCAACTTCTCGCGCAGGAAGCCGGCCTGGATGGTCTCAAACCGCTGACGGCAGGCTCCCGAAGGCGATCCGTGTCCGGCGCTGCATGTCCTGCAGTCGTCGGTCGGGACGTGAGCGTCGATCATGCGCTCCGTGATGTACATACTGCGTCCGATGGGTCCTGCACTCTTGTCAGGGATGTGCTTCCACGGCGTCGCCCTGATGTTCTGGATGAGCTCAGGCAGCCACCTTCTTAAACTCCTCTGGCATCCTCCGCACGGCCCTGACCTTCTGCACGCCACGCTCTGGGTCGATCACGGGGTGAGCGTCGCCCAACTTGCCCTTTCGAACCCAGATCCCTTTTCGAGAAGCGGGCCTCCCCAGTGCCGCGTCCAGCAGCAACTCGGGCTGATATCCTACATCAGACCTGCTCGCCCATCTCCGCGATCTCCCCACTGTGTTTCTTGCCGCACAGCATCTTGCGGGGTGAGCCCCCGCGGCTTCGCGACTCGAACCTGGCGATCACCCAGCCCACCGAATTGACGAGCCAAGGCGCGATGGGATCAATCATCTTGATCTCACGCCCCAACTTGTGCTCCAGCTGCAGCGTGTAGGCCGGAAGCAAACCTGCTGCAAGCGCGTTGGCACCCTCGACGTAGCCGGCACTCTGCCTGGAGAACAGCGGCGATCCCCGCGCTAGGGCGAGCGCGACCTGCGATCTCGAACTGCATTCGCAAGGGCCATGGCGGCAGGCCCCTGGTTTGTCTGAAGGACAACTGTCGCGCGACCCCAGACCCCCAGCACAGCTATCAGGAAGGACACCTTGTAGTCATCCAACTCTTTCACAGCCTGCAGCGTCGCTTGGGCCAGGCTTTTGCAATCGATCACGTTCAGAACCGCGACCGCCTGTTCGAGATCTGCTTTCGCTACCAGCGGCTTCTCACGGATGCTGAAGTAGCCTCCTTCGAGCATGTACTGAGCCGCCAGCTGGTCCGTTCCCACGTAGAAGATGTCGAACACCACCTTCGGTACTTGCTTCTCGCCCGCTGGCCCCCGCACGTAGCGCGGACCGTCATCCGCCCGAGCTTCCACGCACACTGGACACCAAGGGCGAAAAGGGAGGCGACGCCCTTCGTGCGCGGCCCTCTCCGCAGCACAAGGTTGGCAGGGTGACTCGTCGGCGCAGTCGCATTCTCGTTCGCCTCTAGGCCGCGAACCCTCGGCAAAGATCAAGCTTCCTGTTTAGCTGGGACCTTCCGCGGTAGCGTCTTCCCCACTGCTGATACCTGCGTGGCTCCTGGTTGGGCCTTGCCGTCTATGATGTGTTCTTACTCTAAGTAGTAGTTGGCCTGGTGACGTCGTAGAGGTACGAATTCAGCCCCTTCGGGTGGCTCGATGGTGCCGCTGATGACCCAGTGGCCTGCAGGACTACGGAGAACGCTCGGGCTTCGCTGCACCACCGCATCTGCGGCCACAACGGGATACTCCACGTCGGCAACTTCCGCGCCTACTTGGATTACCTCTCCTCCACTGGACAGGTTAAGCTCCTCATGGCCGCGCCTCTCGACCCCCCTCGCCTCCGATACCCTTCAAGCCAACGACGTTACTAGCCGTTGGCGTGTAGTTGTACTGGGCAACCTGCTTTCTCGGCACTGCGCTGATCTGCGGGCCTGAGTCGAGCGCGATGGCATTCCGAAGCGGGGCTAACCGCAGTCGGTCATCTTTCAAGCCTTGCCCCTGCAGGCCCCCGATCACGGGCAGCGCGGGCCCGACCGCAGCTGACTCGCAGCAGCTACAAGAAGCCAAACTTCGAGCGCCTGCGCCTGTCCAGACAGCATTCGGCGCACGCCCCACAGAAGTCCTGCTTCCACTCTTCGCAGAGAAATCTTTTACACAAGAACATTTTCTCGCACGAGATGCAGATGAACTCGCGGTAGGCGGGCACGGTGCACCCCCAGTCAATCCCATGGGTTCGCGCATTGTGACCTCGGCCCTCAGGCCCAGAATCATCTTCGCTCGCAGCCCTCGGCATGCCGGCACGGCGACGGGCAATGTCACTGCGCTCTCGGCACTGCTGCGCGCCCCTGGCAGAGGCTGCGCGCGCGTCGTCGACCCTGTCGCTTGGGCTACTCCTCCGCGGCGCAAGCTCTCGAGCTCGTTCACTGCTGCTGCCGCGACCCTCTTTTTTCTTGTTTGAACTTGTCTTTTCCTGTGATGTGCATTGTCCTTGTTGTCGCGGTTGGCGGCGGCCTTCTTCTCGTCGGCTATCCGAGCGCGGCCGCCTGCGCTTCGGTGGCCCTTCATGCGACAGCAGTTGCACTCCAGGTCGGCGTCTGGGTTCAGATGCCTCTCCTCGCCCGCGCCTTCCTCGCCTTTGCCGCGGCCTGCCCACGCCTTCTCGCCGCAATTCAACCCGCCGATGCCCATCGGATTGTCGTGGGCCGCTCGCTCCGCCGACAGCGCGGACACGGCTTTGGCTCGCAGGCGATCGCACGCGTTCGGCCGACTGCCGTTCCGAAGCACGTGCTTCTGCAACTCCGCGTGTTCATTGAGCGCCTTGGCGAGGATTCCTCGCTCGATGAGATCCGACACGGGCTCGCCCGACATTTCAGTGACCCGCCCTGTCCTCGCCGAGCTTGCTGATGCTCACCATCACGCCGTCTGCCGCCTCGAACTTCGCGTCCGCAAGCTTGGTCCACATCGCCAGCATGTTGCCTGCTTCCCTTCTGAAGCTGCCTCCAGCAAGCTGCCCCCTCGCCCGGGCCGCTGTTCCTGGCGATCATCTCCCCTACCGGGTCCTCGGGCATGACTCGGACCAGGGCGAAGTACAGCTGCGTGCTTAGCTCCTCTTCTTGGGCTGACAAGTTCACGTCGTCCACTTCCTGCGATCCACCTTCGCACTTCTCGAGAAGAGGTCGATATCTTCGGTCTGGCGCGATGAAGGAGGCCTTGAACTGGAAGCTGAACGTCTTCCAGCTCGCACTCTGACCGTCGAACGGCTTCACTGCGCGACGAATCTTCGGGTCCATCATCTCGCCGGAAGGCCCTCGTTCTCTGTCGGCTCGTCCTTGAAGTTGACCTCGCACCTCGGCTATCGCGAGGTCCCGCTGCTGAAGCTCGTTCCTCATATGCTGACTTTCTGTCGTCAGCCTCTGCACCTGCTCGACCAGCTCGCGCACTTGACCCTCCATCTTCTTTGTCGGCCTTCGCCTGACGCTGGAAATCGAGCGCGAGCAAGCGGTTCACCGCTGCTCGCCCTTCTTCCGTAAGCTGAGCGGCGTCACCACACTCGGCCAGCTTCCTCCAGGCGCCCCCTCGGTTCTGGCAGTGGGCTCTTGCCTCTGGGGCTCTGCCGCCGCGCTTGTTCGCCTTCTTCGCCTTGCGCTTGAACTTGCTCGAAGGCTCGAGTCGAACTCTCGTTCTGACCTCCTTGCCAGGGCGCGAGTCCTCCCGCAGCTCTGGCCAACAAGGGGTATTCCGTTGTAGAGCAGCGCGAATCGTTTTGCTGTTGCTTCCGCTGACTTTCCGCCGCTGGGTCTCCTCGAGGGGCTCCTGGAGCTCGCCGAGTGCGGAGCTGGCCCGCAAACCCCAAGCGAGCTCCGCTACCATGCACGTGCTCCCCCACCCCCGTCGTGGAGAAAGGGGAAGGGAGGGCTGCTTTCGTTCTTGAACAACAAAGGGCTGCAGGATCTCGGGCCATCGCCCAAACAGTCTGATTATAGTTTGATATAATCATAAATATATATATGGAGAGAGAGAGAGAGAGAGAGAGAGAAAGAAAGATTCGCCGGCCCAACGGGCCAGGGCGTGCTAAGATCTCCGGCACCTGGTTAACAGTATTTCTAGTTCGCGCGCGCGGGGCGGCCCCTGGGGGTCCCCGGACGAAAAGTACCCCGGCAAGGTCCCGGCAAGTCCCCGGCAAGGTCCCGGCAAGTCCCCGGCAAGGTCGGGCCAGAGATGCCGGAGCCCTGTTACAGGGCCCCAGGACGGGCCAAGAGGTCCCCAAGAAGCCTCCAAGACGGTCCAAGAGGGCCCCGAGACGGCCAAAGATCGCCCGAAGACGCCCAACAGGGCCCCAAGACAGCCCAAGAGGCCTCCAAGACGCCCCAAGGGCCTTCCAAGAGGCCTCCGAAGAGGGCCCCAAGAGGCCAAAATCGTTGATTTTCATTGTTTTTTTATGTTTTTTGCGTTCTGGCTTTTTCGGCTTCCGGACGCTCCAAGACGGCCCAAGAGGCCCCCAAGACCGCTCCAAGACGGCCCACGAGGCTCCCAAGACGGCCCCGGAACGGCCCAGGAGGGCCCCCAAGACGGCCCAAGTGCCGCCCAAGACGGACCAAGAGGCCCCAAGACGGGCCCAAGAGGGGCTCAAGAGGAGAACCGAGAACTGAAAAATCGAGCCCTCCGCCCCAGAAGGCGCCCAGGAGGCCCCAAAAAGGCCCCAAGAGGCCCCCAAGAGGCCCCCAAGACGCCCCAAGAGGCGCCCAAGAGGCCCAAAAGAGGCCCCAAGAGGCCCAAAAACGGCCCCCAAGAGGCCCCAAAACTCGGCTAGCCCACAACGGTGCGACAATATGGGCCGGCGGAATGAGCGAAGCGATTAAATATATATGGAGAGAGAGAGAGAGAGAGAAAGATCAGCAAAACTTCAAACTTCCCACCAACAAATCGTCCAAAATTGTCAACAAAAATCGCCCCCTGCCTATTTTTTGCCTATTTTTGGATGTTCCCCCTGTAGAGGGACAGGCCCCAGAGGCCCCTCGGGCGGGTGGCTCGGAGGGGGGGGGGCCAAAGGGGCGGCGAGGGAAGGGTAAGACGAGGCCAAGGCGAGGACAACTTGGTTCCCTCTGGGGACAGCTCGAGGACCTCTGGGGATAGATCGAGGACCTCTGGGGATAGATGAAGTTCCTCTGGGGATAGATCGAGTTCCTCTGGCGGATCTCTGGGGATAGATGAAGCTCCTCTGGGGATAGATCGAGAATCTCTGGGGATAAAGCGAGGACCTCTGGGGATAGATGAAGCTCCTCTGGGGAGAGATCGAGCTCCTCTGGCGGCTCCAGAGGACGTCCCAGGCGCGGCGGCCCTCTCGGCCTCGCCCCAGCCCCGCGCCGGGAGGGCCCGCAAGGGGCCCCTTGGGCCTTTGGGGCCCCCTTGGGGCCCCTGCTGGCCTCACCCCATGGAGGCTTGTCGGCGCGCACAGGGGGGTGAAGGGAGGGGGGAGGGCTTCTTAGGAGGAGGCTTCTTCTTGGAAGGCGCCGGCCTCACATCTGATAGACAGGGCCCGCGCCTGCTAAGAGGCAGGGGTGCTCATGAGAAGCCCTCCCCCCTTCCCCCACCCCCCTCGGCGCGTGGCTGAGAGGCCACCCCCGATTACTACCCGCCCGAGTCTCCAGCCATTGCCCAGGACCTGCGCTGCATCCCGAGTAAGTAGTTCGCGGACGGCCACGGGGCCTGGCGCCGGGCTCCCAGAGGCCGAAGACCGCCAGAAGCTGCCCGTCGTGGACTTGCAACGAGTTTGAAAAGCCTCTTCAAATCGCGGGAAATTCACGACGGGCCAGGGACCACCTTGCCAGCTCTTCAGGCATGCTTCCTAGCGCTCTCGAGAGCGTCCCTCATAGGCGTGTTACGCGTTGGACTGCGTCGCTGTCCTATCCGGTTTGGGACTGCACAAGTGGATTACTCAGATTCCGCGATAGCTCGCAGAGAACTAGGAGGGTTTCAGGATAAACATCCTGAGCCGCCGCCCTTCCGTCCGGCGTGAGAGCAGCCGCGGCCTCGGTGGCCGCCGCGGCCACACGCCGCGGCGGCACCGGCCGCGCGGAGGACGCGGAGGGTGCAGGTCGAGGGACGCACCTGCGCCGATCCTGGCTCGGGCGCTCATGAGAAAGGCCAACCTCCAAACATCGTCAAATTCACGGCCGGAGCTCTAGACCCCATCGTTCTGCGTCATTCCTCGAACAGGGTTGATATGTGACGGCCCTGGGGCCCGTGACTGGTCGAAAGCGCCCGCGCAGATTTCAGGGGTCGAC